ACTTCCCTCTACCTACCACTTGAGCGTTCAGGCTTATTTGGAGGTTGCTTCCTTGCGTGGTTCTTGAGCATCTTGGTGAGAGGGTCCAGTCCTTGCTGGTTCTGCCAAGCCGCCTCCTCCCGTCCGCTCATAGCGCGCCCTCTGGTGGTGGTAACGTGTAGCGCCGCAGGCCCATAACAATGTTGGGGCACCAGAAAAACGTTGCTGATTCTCACCAGGACTTGGGACGCTTTACTCTGGATTGGGGGTGGTGGTCTCGCCAGATCTCCGTGCAGTGCAAGAAGCCTTTCCCGTTATTGTTTTGTAAATTGTCACTGTCTGGGGTTTTCAGATGTAGCAACTGAAAACACTGGGTGTCCGGTTAGATTTGAATTTTAGTAAATCACGGATAATTTTTTAGTATGAGTATGTTGCATGATTGCATGGAACGTACTTCTGCTAAAAAAGATTATTCGTGGTTTATCTGAAATTCAAATTCCTATGTTTTATGTGTCGTGCCTGTGGGAGGGGTTCCTGTTGTCCTGGAGGAGGGGAGGGAAGGAGGGAGGGAGGAGGTTGGGGGAGGGGGAAGCGTGCGAGCAAAGGGGCGCAGGTTCAGCAGGGGGCCGTAATGACATCAGTTTTCTGTGTGGCTGGGGTTGCCGGGGTCCCTTGCTCTAGGACAGCGCTGCTCAACCCCGTCATGCTGAGACCACTTGGAAGCTCAGAGAGTCCGACGATTCTGATGTTCTTGGTTTGATGAAGGAGCAGGCTTGGCTTTCTTGAAGCTCCCAGGCAATTCACATTTGTAGCCAAGGTTGAGAATCACTGCTCAAGGAGAGCTGGTCCTGCACAGGTGTGTCACAGGTGTGTGTGTGTGTGCGTGTGTGTGCTTGCGCGCGCGCGCGCGCATGTGTCCCAAATGCCTTCGGTTTGTACGTCCGCAAGTTTACCAGTGTGGGGTCCTTCCTGAGAGACCATGTCTGCATTATGGAAAGGCCTGGGACTCTTTCCCAAATGTTTCTAGCCATCGCCCCACCCCCCCACCTTCCACACTCCCACCCTGGGGGCCTGGGAGGGGGACTTACATGTTACTGATCACTTCCTGCCTTTGATTTCCTGTTCGCATTGAGCACTCAATCTCATTCCTGTCTTTCCCCGGGACTGTTTCTTTATGTCCCTGTCAACTTAATGCTGGTTTTCAATGACCACCAGCCCACACGGGTCAAGTTTAGCAGATGTTTCCTAAAGGTCTGCAGTGAACAAAGGGTGTCATCCCCGAAGTAAATTACTCTGCCCTCCAGTCCCCACCCCACCCCCGCCCCGCCATTGACTCCTACAGCTCCTACAAACCCTGCTTCCTCCAGCTGTCAGCATGCAGCTGCTAGCCAGATTCCAAGCTGCTGTTCCCTTTTATCAGAACAATTAAACCCTTTTTTCTGCACATTTCCCGCAAGTCCAGGTATTTCCAAAAGAGATACACCATCCCTGCGAAGAACTGGGCGATGCTCTTCCTAGGCAAGCCGGCGCCAGCTGCAGCCAGGGTTTTGCAAAACAGCATCTCCCTCTTCCTCCTACATGTGCAAATCCTCAGAGATTTTAGCAAGTTATTTTAATAGCTAGAGGACCCTGCTGACTTCAGTTCAAATATTCTGGCCAGAAAACCAAAGTCCTTGGATAAAACCCAATAGTTGGGGTGGGGGGGAACAGGGGTCCCCTGGTCCCGGGGGAAGGCAGCTGCGGTCCCAGCAGATGTTCCTAAAGGCCTGGGTTTGGGCCACATCTGTCCTGTGGGGACGCTGCAGGAAAATGGAGCGCGAAAGCACGGCCATATCCCAGGTCTCTGGCGAGTCCCTGGGATGCGCCCCATCAAGTGAGGGTCTTTGGCTTTGCACAGGCAAGAATTCAAGAGTGAGCCATAGCAGGATGAGAGCAGGTTTATCCAGGGAGACGCTGACTCCTCAGACGAGTGCAGGCCGACCCAGAAGGCCAGAGAGTGGGAGTGCTTAGCTCTTACGGGCTCTGTAGCTTCATCTGCCAACAAGCGGGAGCTGATTCCAGCTACTTTGGGGAAGGGGTGGGGATTCCCTGGAATTGGGCCACTGCCTCCTTTTTGGCCTTTTATGGTCAGCCTCCGAACCGCCATGCCACAGTGGGAGTGCCATTTATCATGCTAACGTATCATAATGAGCATGTAATGAAGCTCAAGTTCTACTGGAAGTCAAATCTTCTGCCATCTCAGGCCTCAAGATCTACCGGAAGCTGAACCTCCCGCCATCTTGGTTCTAACCAGCTTCTGCCCTAGCCTCAATTGCTGTGCGATTCTTTTTGTGGCTGCACCCTGCCCCCTCTTCTCCTGTCTCTGGGAGAGCAGAAGAAGGAGGGCAGGAGAGAGGGAGGAAGGGGATGGGACAGAAAGCAAAGGAGGCGAGGGTTAAAACAAAATGGCACAGATCCCTCTAAGACAGTCTCTAATCCTCCAGGGAAAGAAGTGAGAGAGAAGCAGAAGGAGGCACCGTCCTGGTGAGGATGAGCCCTGATGTCCAGCTCCCCTCCGCTCCCAGGGTCCGCAGGGAGGCAGCCGCAGCCAGCTTTGGTCATATGGGATGGACGCCTTTCAGCCAAGCTGCCTGGGAAGCCAGGTTCCTGAAGTCCACCTGCATTTCTTCTTTCTCCATAAGGTGGCCTGGGTTGGGGACATTGAGTCTCTCACTTCCTTGGAGAGCTACATAAATCTGAGAGGTCTGTGAACCAGCAAGGGTGTGGGACTGGGGTGCCGTCCAATTCTACTGAGAGACTGAGAGGCTCTTGTGTCTTCTGCCTTTCGAAACAGTCCACAGGATACTAACGTTAAACAAGTTATAAACGTTCTTCTTCTTCTTCCCTTCTCCTCCTCCTTCCCCCCCTCTCCCTTTCCTCTCTCCCCTTTCTTCTTCTTTTTTTTAATTAAAGTATAGTTGATTTACAATATTGTGTTGGTTTCTGGGGTACAGCATAGTGATTCAGTTTACATACATATTCTTTTCCATTATAGGTTATTATAAGATATGGAATATAGTTCCCTATGCTATGCAATTGGACTTTGTTGTTTGTTTATTTTATATATAATAGTGTGTATCTGCAAATCCCAAACTCACAATTTATCCCTTCCCCTCTTTCCACTTTGGTAACCATAAGGTTGTTTTCTGTGTCTGTGAGTCTGTTTCTGTTTTGTAACTAAGTTCATTCGCATCATTTTTTTAGATTCCACATAGAAGTGAAACCATGTGATACTCGTCTTTTTCTGTCTGACTTCATTTAGTATGATAATCTCTGGGTAGATCCATGTTGCTGCAAATGGCATTATTTCATTCCTTTTT